AGTTGTTTGATGTATTATCTTGATATATACCTGCTTTCAGTTTTGTTATAGAGATCATGGTGGCCTTGACGGCCCAATCAGGACTTCTGTACTAGTTGTCTGTTTATTTATATGATCTCCTGGGAGTAGCTGTTTCTTTTATAGATCAGTTGACATGGGCCTTGCCGGCCGATGACTTAGTTTTAAGCCGAGATATACTTGTATGATTTCTTGATTGCGTGTGGCTGCCATGCGCTAGTAGCAAATGGTTCAGCAGGGTCGGCTCGGGCCTGAGTTTTGGCATTAGGAGCCAGTTGCGTCCCTTGTGATTGGGGCGTGACAAAACGCCCCTTTTGAATTTCAGAAAATAATGAATGATATATTCATTCCCTACAATAATTTCATAATAGTCTATATAGATGATATTCTAGTATTTTCCAAAAATGGGAAAACTCATTTTAAACATCTTGAATTGTTTTAAAAAATAATTATACAAAATGGCTTGGTTTAATCTCAACCAAAAATGGCTTTGTTTAAACCAAATGTCAGGTTTCTTGGTCATAATATTGAAAGAGGAAATATCAATCCTATCAATAGAAGTATTGAATTTTCTTCTAAATTTCCTAATGATATTACTAACAAGACTCAGTTGCAAAGATTTCTTCGGAGTCTTAATTATGTTGCTCCTTTTATAAAGTATTTAGAAAAAGAAGCAGTTGTGTTATATGACAAGTTAAAAATTAATCCTAAGGCTTGGTTAAATGATCATACTGAAGCAGTCAGAAGGATTAAAGAAAAGGTTAAAAACCTTCCTTGTTTAACTTTGACCAATCCCAATTGGGCAAAAACGGTAGAAACAAATGCTTCAGATATAGGATATGGCGGAGTATTAACTCAATATTATCCTGATAATAAACGTCATTATATCATTCAATTTTATTCTGGCAAATGGAATACAGCCAAGAAAAATTATGCCACTATAGCCAAAGAAATCTTGGCTACTGAAAAATGTGTACTTAAATTTCAAGGTGATCTTTATAATCAAAAGTTTTTAATAAAATCTAATTGCCAAGTTACTAAGTTTATGTTTAACAAGGATTGAAAACATGATGTTTCTAAACAAATGTTTGCACGATGGCAAGCTTTATTAGTCCCCCTTTGATTTTGAGATACAATATAAAAAGGGTGAAGATAATAGTCTTCTGGATTTTCTTACTAGAGAATATTTGAAGTCATAACTATTAATTATGTCATGTTTCACATAATTCAATTCTTGGGAAGCAAAAAGGTAAGAAAACATTTTCCAACAATCAGAGTAGTTCCTTTTCGGACTTTACTAATTTTTGTGCTCACATAATTAAGTAAGACTTTCTGTAAAATTTGAAATATAAATGAAAAGAACAAAATATATTTTTGGTATCATATTGCCAATTTAGTCTTGATGTCTAACCAATAATGTAGTCAAATCATCAATTCCATTATTCTATAGGTTTCTTTTATTAGATGGCGATCCACGGGAATCATGGAATAAAGTTTGGAATGGAAAAATTATGAGTCAAGTTGGAAGAGTAGGGTTATGAGTTATGACCCATTAATACCCATCTCAGTCGACCAACTTTGGGCAGGTTGGGTAATGACCCATTTATCATTTCAGCCCATTTTGACCCGGACAAATTCAGCCCAAACGCCCATTTGCCATCATTAACTGGTAATATATAAGAGATATGATTATAACAGCTTTTGGAATAGCTAGGTCTTTTCAGGAGCTTGAGAGCTTCAAAGAAAAATATCTTGCATACCAACTATATTGAAACCACTAGGGCATTGTTCTAGAAGTAAGAGCGTAGTTTGTGAGGTGTGGATTAGGGACACATCAAAATTTCAAACCCTACCCCAGACAAAAGCATAGTATCTAAGTGGAGAAGGATAGAGGGGCAAGTCCATTATCCACCGAGTTTCAGACTGTGCACCACCAACCCCTGGGGATTCTTGGTTATCAAAAAAATAAAAAAGACCAATATATATTTTGACAATAGAAGCACAAAAGCCACAATAGGAATACTATGAAATATAGCCTAACTTACGATCACGATCTGCCTCTTCTATCATTTCCTGGATTTCTCTGTCAGTAAATCGCTCCCCAAACTCATCAGCGATTCTTTGAATGTCCGCAAAAGAGATTTTCCCCTACATTTAAATGCTTTAATGATTAGTCACAAGCCAAGAAAACAATTTAACTGTACGGAAGATAACCAAAAAAACAGAAAGCAGGAGAGCAAAAAAAGCAAGCACATTTTTATCCAAACTTGGCAGTCATCATGTGCACAAATTCATCAAAATCAATTGCACCACTGCCATCCTTATCAACTTCTGCAATCATTCGATTGATCTCCTGGAATAACAAACACAATAATGAGCACAGTACCACATATGAGAATAACTGACAAGGGCAGAAAAGAAGAAAACTAAAATCAAGGATTAATCCGCGAATAAACAGTATTTGACACAATGGAAAGGCTCCAAATTAGCACAAGGAGAGAGAGAAAGTAAGAATGAACTTATTCCTAAATGACTTGCCAAATAACAATGAAAGAGTAATCAGATATTAGAAAGGTTAAAATCCTGATACAGGCCTCTAAGGCCAAATCTTGTTAATATTTTGCCAATAGGATCACTGACCAGCCATCATGTTAAAGGCTAAGAGGAATATAGACCAAAAAGAAAAAATCGAAGAACTCTTAAATAATCCATAGATTTCCTTTATTTCCCAGATTCAAAACAATAAGCTGCATGACTAACTAAAGACCACATCACTTACATCTTGGGTGTCAATTAACTACTAGTCAAACACAAAATAATACAACTCAATATATGTGTTGTGGTTAATATCATTCTTAAATCTGCAACCAGGCTATCTACTTAGAAAATCATGTACAGAGTGGAACCGTTGCTAAACAGTCACTATTAATACATTAATTGATAGCCACCCAAGACATTTCCCAAGAATCTGGATTAATGTATCAAACCATCAATAGAAAGGAGCAGAGACTTTAAATAAACTCAACCACAGTTTGTCCAAAACAGAAAAGAAAACCTAAGATGAAAGAACTTTATGTTAACCATTGCAGGGTATCGGATGGTTGATGCAAGGGGAGGGGAGGAGGGTGGC